GCGTATCATAAGAGATCCTATAAAATGTCAAATTTCAAGCACCACCTGACTATTGTCCCAAAAGACTATTGTTTCTATTTTAACTATTAAATATTCAGTAATACATTTGTTCTTATTTAAATTTTGAATTTCTTTCATAATAGTATGTATTAATATGAATAAAATCCTCCTGCTTAATGTTTAATTATGTTTATCATTCAATCAAAATCTTATATCTAATTATAACAAAACATAATACCTTTATAAATAAATATTATGATGAATGAAGAAAATGCATATGATAAAAAGAAACGCACATAAAAAAAAATTATTACAGTTTGAGATTTATAAGAGAAAGTGTGTCTGAAAATTTATGAATAAAACAACAAAAACAACATTCTTATTTAAATATTCATGAAACAATAAAGATTTTTATTTATTTATTTTTGACTAAAATCTCAAATTCAATAATTCTTTTTTTCTGAATTTTATTCCACATGAAAAAATATTTTTAACTTATACAATTATTCTGCAAATAGTGTATCCATCTGTGAAAAATTTAATTGAATAAACTAACATTAGAATTTAATATAACATTTTTACAAACTGAAATATATTATACAGTTCAGTATATGATCTTATATACATATTACCAAGTGCATAAAATAGGAAATGTTTAGGATATAATTGGAATACCATAATAAAAAAAACTTCTATAATGAAAATGCAATTTCACCTTGTACGACAATCCCCAAATAGACATTTCATTGTAAAAATAACACCAGTTGTTTCTAAAAATAATCTAAAATTATATTAAATACATGTAATAGATTGTTTTAGCAAATTTGGATCATATTGTATTACAATTTTCATGAATATGTAATGAATTCTATTATTTTTTAGAGTTATTAATTTCTGTACACTATAGAATTATAATCAACAAATACCATATACAATGTGTACAATCAACAACATTAACACCTAGTTTGGATTTTGATTAATTGACATGAACATATAAATCAAAGATCTTTTTGCACAATATTTTAAATATAGTATATTTCTTTATATAATATAAAAATCACTTATTTCATAATTGTTCATTTTCTGTATATTGTTCTGATTGATATCAATTATAAAATTGTCAAAATAATAACTTTTACTTTCAAAATGAAAATATAGTGCAAGATATTTTTGCTTAACACAGGAGGAAAAAAAAAACAAAAACTACTATATAATAAATCTTATTTAATTTTCTGTTATGTTTTGTATGTATGTATGTAGTATATATGTCATAAATAACTTTATTTTCTATCACCCATCAGAGAGAGAAGGAAAAGAAATATGTAAACAATATCCAAGTACAATTGCAAAGCTGCAAAAATATGTTCTTCAGCACTGAGTTGATGTTTTTTCCCGCCCATCAGCATTTGGGTATCATAAGCCAAAAACTAAAAATAAAATAAAAACACATGTTTTAAGAGTATAAAATTTCCTTCTTAACTTTACAGAAATTCTAACTCACCAACATAAACAGCAATGCTCCTAATGCAGAGTAGACTGTGTTCAATATCTAAAATTATTTTTATTACACTTTTTAGTAAAATTACGTTTTCAACTATTAGTATGTATGTAAATTAAACTTACAGAATTGTAGGTGAATATTGTAAGAATGCCAAACAGGAACAAAACAAAGCAAAGAATGAACAGTACACCACCACAGCTTGTCAAATCAATCTACACATAAAATTGGTGAGATATTAGAGTTATGAATTATCTAAATAAAATATAAAAATAAATATTACCTTTGTGTTAAAAGAAAAAATAGTAATTGCCAAGCAGCAGGCAGCACAAATTCCCATGGCCATTAATACAATATTTGTGTTGTGATAACTGCAAAAAATAAAACATGCTATAAAATTACATTTGAAATAAAATACCAAATACTATAATGATTATCAAGATAATCCTCACAAAATATTTAATGTCTCAAGACAAATTCTAATATTGATCAATAAAAATCTATGAGAATTTAATAAAAATAAAAACATATCATATATGAAAACTAAAATTTTACTGTAACAGTATATAAGAGAATTTCTAATATCCTTTCCTGCCAAAGAATAATCTTTCATGTAAAATAATACATAAATTTTGTTACCTTGAAATTACTGTGTTAAATTATCTAGATCAGTGTTTCCCAACCTTTTTTGTGCTATGCCCCACCTAAGCCTTTCTAAAATTCTTATGCCCCCCTAACATATACAGCGGTTATACGATTAACTTAAACTCTGGATGAGTCATTTTTGAATTGTCCTCCTTAACAATCGAATTGCTCCGTGGGGCGTGGGCCCCACGTTGGGAAACACTGATCTAGATAATTTGAATGAGGAGCAAGTTATATGATGGGGTGGGTTATATGCTAATTTTAGATTACAATTACAAACTTTTGCCTGTGGAGTAATGTATGCTTACTAGTGAAACTAGGTTCAGTTCTGCTCCACTGCTTAAAACATTGTGTCTTTTTTATTTCCCTCTCCTCAGTCTTCATCTTATCATGCTACTTCAATGTTAAGAAACCTCCACTTTTTTAAACGTAGTGTGTTGTATTATTTTTTTAATACATAAATACTGTTTAAATGTAAAAGATTAAATATGTAATTAATGTTTTAATTTGTTTTTCTAATATGTCTACTTATTACGCAACTGTTTGAAGAAAATAATCAAGGATAGCCTTTCAAATCCTTCAAAATAGCCTGTGTTCCCTGCAGTTGAAGGTGAACTAACTGAGATGCCCTTCATAACCATATGATAAATAGCACAACAAATCATGTAAAAATTCTATTTTTTTTCTGGTAATTTTTGTGGGCTATATGCCATCATGAATTATGTACATGAAAATACAATAAGTATATATTTTGGACCAAATTTATTAACTCATCCTGTGTAAAAAAATCCAAGTTCTTACAAAAGTGGAATAATTTTAAAAATTGATATTTTCCAAACATGCAATAGTTGGTATTTGGTGCATTAATTCTTTTTAAAAAATTATATTAAAAAATATTGTATACAAATATTAACAACAGAAATATTAAACTAGAAACATTAGCAAGCTCAAGTTTAGTATTGAATTCTCATTTTGATATTCAAAGTTCTACATTTTTGGAATTGTATCTATTGACAATATCAAATGTCAAGTTTTAAAAAAATTTGAGTTTATATTTCCAAAACAAAAAACCTAAAGCCTATATTTTAAATTTTAAATACTTAGTAATTATAATAAATTAATATTTTTAAAAATAAAGAAAAACAGAAGAGTAGTAAATTTTAAATAATTTTATAATTAAATTTGATTCATAATGATTTAATTTTGCCACAAACAAATGTTCTGTTAATTTACAAAAAACAATAAAACTTACTTACTTTAAGCTTTTCTAAAGCCAAATATGAACTAGCCAACATCACAATTTGTTTCTTGTATATGGCATTAAATTTATACAGTTCTAACTTCAATAGTTATTACTTAAATATCATTTTAAATCAAACTTTGAAGAAAAATATATGGTAGATCAGTCTAGGTTCTCAAATCTGACATATTGGATCAATATTCCAACATCTTATAATAATATTGTTAGTAATGTTAATATGTAACAACACAGAAGAATATAATTAATATAAAACTTATGTACTTACAAATATTATAATGTATACAGTAGAACCTCGATTATCCGGACTAATTGGGGATGAAGATATACCGGATACGGAAAAATTTGGATAATCGAAACAAATACTTTAATTTGTCTTTTAATGCTAATACAACACATTTTCTTTTCGATGACATATCAGTAATATTAAAAATAAATACTGTATTTAAATTGTGATCAAATTTTCAAGAAACAAATGTTTGTATTGAATTTGGACTACTACTGACCAGTGCTAACAGACTACCTATTGTTTAAAAGACCCTCTGGTGGCATAAGAAAATGGATTTTATAAAATAAAAAGCAGTTGAAACTGCATTTTTATGAATAAAAATTTGACAAACTATTTATTGTTTTATGATGAATAAAATTTTTTCGTCGCATTCGCGGCTTTTAAGTAATGCATAAACCTTCGAGGCACGAGGCATAGGCAGTGGCCCACATCATCCACGCCTTATGCCACCCTTGGTCATAGAAATGATGTAATTTGAATATAAATTATTTATAAATATGTATGTCAAGTTATATTTTTATTACAACGTAAAATATATTTAAGAGTTTATGACCACTGTGCTGGGTGAGACGCTGTTGAAACAAAAAAAGTTATGCATTCCATCACGTACATAAACAGTGTCATAATTTGCCAAGTGCAAATCAGCAAATTCGTAAAATTTTTGTTTATTTTGAACAATCTGGATTATCGAAAATCCGGATAATCGAGGTTCTACTGTATATATACAGTAGAGCATCGATTATCCGAAAACAATTTGAGACTGGGATTGTACGGATAACTGATCATTTATGAAAAAATATATTAAACACAAAACTGTACTGTATATATTTTGTATCATACATCTTACAAATACATATCTTATATAAAGTAGTACATTAAAGTAGGCCTACAGTTTAGGTTGGCAAGCAGGGAGAGTGATGCAGCGCCACAGCACTAGCAGAAATATGAATTTGCTGACTGGAACTCTTTCTGTTAACCGATGTTTCAGCTGATTGGTATTCTGATAATTGATGCTATACTGTATATATATGAATTAATAATGTTAAGTACATAATAATGGTATTTTTACTTTCATAACTTGCAAGACATTAAATTCTTTATGTGAAGATTAAAGAATAGAAGAAAGTTGTTCTAAAAGAATTCAGAAGCATGACATTTACAGAAAAACATACTGACTGATATTTCAACAGGAAAAAGTAATTTGTTTTATATTTCAAATTAGAATGCTGTTATTACTGATAAGTGAAAATTCAATGTCTTAAATATCTGATGAAAACTTTAATATAAAATGAACCATACCTTGAGATAGCTCCAACCAAGTAGCTTAAACTTACAGTCTGAAATTTTCAAAAAGAAAAAATATTTATAAAAAATTCACTAAAATTACTTTAAAGTTATGAGAAATATTTTCAATTTTACGAGCTCTATGACAGCTTTTCTTTTCTGCTAGACTTATTACACCATCAATTAATACACCAAACAAGACAATCTTTAGAAAATCACATTTTTATTTCCTAAGTATGAATTTTGGACTTCGAGTCCCTTATCAACTCTGTGATGTAAATGGTTATGAGAAGCACAGAAATGGTGACGATTGATAAAATACAAGGTCTGTTCAAAAAGTATCGGACCTTTGGTCGGCAAAAATACATTTATTGACTTTGAGGTAGAAAACCCTAATCCCCTTCAAAGTAGTCTCCTTGGTAATGTATACACTTCTCCCAGCGTTTCTGCCATTGCTGGAAACACTGCTGGAACGCATCTTTTGGAATGGCCATCAGCCGGTCCGTCGCATTCCGCACGATGTTTTCTCTCGACTAAATTCGGGTTCTTTTTAGTGGCATTTTCAGCTTGGGAAATAGCCAAAGGTCACATGGAGCCATGTGGGGAGAGTACGGAGCGTGACGAACCACAGGAGTATTGTGTTTGGCGACGAAAGCCCGAAACAGATGTGCAGAATGGGCGGATGTGTTATCACGATGGAGCTGCCAAGTTTTGGTTGACCACAGATCTGATTGTTTGCGTCGCACTGTATCGGAAAGACGACGAAGGACCTCCTGGTAGTACTCCTTTGCAATGGTTTGGCCTTGTGGTGCGTACTCACGACACACCACCCCACGAGAGTAAAAAAAACTGTCAACATGACCTTTGATATTGCTGCAGACCTGCCGCGCTTTTTTTGGCCTCGAGGATGGTCCCCGAAAGCCTCCTGAATCTTGCGAATGGTTTACACTCGGGTATCACCAAGGTTTTTGGCAAAATTTGATGTAATATCGCTGCTCACGTTGTTCAGTCACTTTCCAGCTTAGTGGAATCCGACGAGAGCACACTACATGACCTCACTCATAGGCCGATTGCTAATGACTGACGCTTCCTGCAGGCGGGAAAAAATTCAGGGCTGTGCATGACTGTCCCCTCCACAACTCCACCGAAAAAGGCCTCTCGCGCATCATTGGTTTACGCGGAAAAAAAAAGGTCCGATACTTTTTGAACAGACCTTGTACAAATGATAATTATTAACTTACAGGTATTTGAGTAGATATGACAGTACGATACATAAAGTAGTAATAGCAGTGAGAGGCAAACAATATACATAATAAAGTACACTGTTAAAACTGTGACATTGGAAACTGTTTTACCATTAAAATAATAAAACAGAATGATAAAGTAAAAAACATGTGCACATTAAAACAATAAGATTATAAACATATTTACAGTAAAATCATAATATGTGATTTCTGTGAGTCGTTTTATTGTGTTACGATTTTACTGTAAATATGTTTATAATCTTATTGTTTTAATGTACACATGTTTTTTACTTTATCATTCTATTTTATTATTTTAATGGTAAAACAGTTTCCAATGTCACAGTTTTACACAGTGTACTTTATTATGTATATTGTTTGCCTCTCACTGCTATTACTACTTTATGTATCGTACTGTCATATCTACTCAAATATGTACTTGTAAATTAATAATTATCATCCGTATTTTATCAATCGTCACCATTTCTGAATTTCTCATAACCATTTACATCACAAAGAGTTGATAAGGGACTCGAAGTCCAAAATGCATACTCTAGGAAATAAAAATGTGATTTTCTAAAGATTGTCCTGTTTCTAATTAATAGTGTAATAAGTCTAGTGGAAAAGAAAAGCTTGTCATAGAGCTCATAAAATTGAATACAAGACTAGACAAGAAGCATTTTACAGAAATATTTTAATAAAACTAATATGAAATATAATACTACTCACAAATAATCCAAGAAGAATGATGTTTGTTGGCCATTTTCTCCTGTTTTTTGATAAAGAAATTTTATATCTAGTGGAAAAGAAAAGCTTGTCATAGAGCTCATAAAATTGAATACAAGACTAGACAAGAAGCATTTTACAGAAATATTTTAATAAAACTAATATGAAATATAATACTACTCACAAATAATCCAAGAAGAATGATGTTTGTTGGCCATTTTCTCCTGTTTTTTGATAAAGAAATTTTATATTGATATAATGTTTTAAAATATGATTTTTACATTTATTTAATATTCTGAATTTTTTCTTTAATACATATATATATATATATTAAAAAACTCACCTCAATTCTGAGCAACAGACCAATGTGATGTACAGTGCTAAGAACGCCACACTAAATATAAAAAAAATTATTATTATTTCTGTTTTTATTTCAAATTAACATTATTTAGTGTTATGTAGTGAAGTATTTTATTCTATTATTCTACTTATTAAAATATTAGAACGAACAAGTAATGATAGACTAAAAGTTCAGGAAATATGAAGATTTAATGAGCCCTTTTAGTTTCTATCATCATCAGAACAATAATAGTCAAACAGAATAATATAACTATGAACAATTTTAAACACAAAAAAAAAAAACTTAAAATTTAAATTGTCACATGCCTTTCTACATTTCTATATTTGAATCAGTTAATTTCTAATGTTAATGATAATTCTATTTTATGCCTGTTAATGTTCATGATCTGACAAGAAAAAATTATTAGTGGAAAACATTTTACCTTATTGAATTTTTAGATATCTTAAACTTTGCCATATTACCTGTTTATTATGGCTACAGGTGGAGTTAAATGCAATAAGATAATTAAATATATAACATAATGAATAAGAATTATAGTATTTAGGTTACCTAAAGTAAGTGTTCTTGGCAGAAAATATGTTAAAATAACAATATGTAAGCATATTTTAATCTGTACTTATTGGATTCTTTAACACTGCTGAGACCAGAAGAGACAGGATAAGGAATGAAGAAAAAAGAGAAAGTATGGGAGTGAAAAATTCGAGAGAGAAGCTAGAACAAATTAGATGGATGGTTTGGACATACCAAGTGAATGGAAGACAATAGAATACCATAGTTGTTATTGGTGAAGGAGATGGAGGGAAGACCCAGAAAGATGTGGATGGACAAAGTAGCTGAAGACCTAAGAAAAAGGACTGACGATGTAACAGTGGTGTTTGCAGAGGAGTGGTGGAAAGATGGAAAGAGATAGAGGTCTAGAGTCCATTGCCCAACCCAGACTTCACTGGATTAAGGATAAAGATAACTTTCAATGCAACTTAAGAAAATAATTCTCCTCACATAGAACAAAAATTAAATAAAACTTGCAACAGAATTTTAATTTCATGCATGTTAATTATAAAATTTTCTTTTAATTTTAATTTTCTAGCTTAAAATAAACTGTGAAATTATTATGTTGATGACCATATATTTGTAAAACTTCCCAAAATTAAATATATTTCTATGGGATAATGAACCTTTTTTTTAGCTTTTGAGAGATCATGACCATCCAAAAATTCCCTCAAATTCATATTAATGAAAGAATTTATCAATTTCAATAAACAAACAAATTTTTCACATAGAAAACCAAAATGCTATTAGAACTGTCAATATGACGATAGATAAGGACTTTTTCTATGAATAAACCATTATGAGATTCTAATGGAAACAGAAGACTTTCAGACAAAGAAACTAAATTGAATTCATCTGCCAAATCTGTTGAGAATTACAGAAAATTATATTAATTCATATTCAGAATTAGAAATGCAAAGCTTGGCAGGTAACTTACCTCTAGCAATTTGTAAAAAAGAATACTGGAAACTTAGTCAACCTTTTTACTTGATTACAAATTAGTAATAATTGAAATAATCAGATATCCAATAGTACAGAAAACTAATATAAAAAATATTTTGAAGCATTCAAATCAAACTTCAAATCTTCCTCAAGGAACCCAAAATTATTCAAATATCTTTTGGATGTATCACTCCATTAACAGCAGTTTAAACTTGTACTTATTACATAGAAGAATATAACATCCTGTTGTTACAACAAAGCATTTGTGAAAATTCTTTGATTTAAACAATTCTGAGCGTTTTGAAGAAGATTTAGTTTGATATAAATGTTAATATAGGAGTTATATGTTAGCATTGAAAATTGCTTTAGAAACTAATCTAACATTTATCACAGGTTTAATGATAGATATCTATTAGTGAGAACATAAAGTCATAGCATAGGATAACTTCCTGATATTTCATTTTTTAATTGTTTTTGGAAGTGAAATGAAATAGCTAATTTCATGAATCAACAATTAGGCACTTTTGGGAGAATTTTTATCAAATTATTGTAATAATTAAAACAGAATATAATATACTTTTAATAATATCAATTTTAATAATGTTTCATAGAAAAATTGTTTATTATTCCTTTACTATTTCTGTTTTTAACAAGTCATCGATTTATTTGTTTCTACAAAAATGCTGGTTGTAAAGATTAAAGATATTTTAGCAAGTTTCATTTCTATTGTATATTTAAAATTAATTTCTATAAAATTCTTTAGACTTTTAACTGTAATTATGATAATGGTATAACCAACTTTTCTATATTAATATGGATCAAGTAAAAGTCATAGTAAGATTAAAGCATGCAAAGGATGCAAGTAATATATGTCCTCAACATTAACTGAATTAGCATTTTTATTTAAAAACAATTGAAATTTAATGTGTTTTAAATTTAAAATCAAAGATATCACTATATAAACTAAAATAAACAAACTAATACAAATGTCATTATTCAATTTTAGTTATGATAAAATATATTTTAACTTTTTAATTTGTTTCATTTCAAAATATTTCAGAATTAAAGTACCTCTAATAACAATATAAAATAAATAAAACAACTTTTTGTTTACAATTCAGTTACTTCATGAAAATAATTAGAGATGATTGAAATATCAAATTGTGTTCAAAGAGCAAGTTTCATTTATAAAAACAATATGAAGTCATATGAAGCATCCAGTATTTTGGTTTATGTGATTTAGATAATTCAAAAATACACCAATCTCCTATTAAGTTTTTCTTAATGTAATAAAAAATTCTTATATTTATTAAGTAGATATAAGCTTCAATTAAATAAAATAGAATTTATTAATCAGTCATACACAATATGAAGTAAAAAAGTAAAAAATAAGTTTAAATTTTACACAAATGTTACTTTAATTGATGTAAGATTGATTTCTACATTACAGTGCTTAAAAAATAAAGTAAAAAGGAATGTCAACTTTAGTGTCAATTTTGTTACTTATTTAGTTTTCACTGCAAAAACCACTATTAATATTTGGTTAAAAAAATTTGCATTCTACTTTATTTTAATTAATGAAAACTAAAATAAATTAGAAAAAAAATTTAAAGATTTTAAAGATTAGAAAATACACTCATAATGTATCTCTCAGAAGATGGATCAAAACAACATAATTAAAATTTCAGATGCATCATCAAACAGCAGAACTTAATTTTTGTGACAAACTCAAAATATTGAAGCTTTTAACAAATATTTCAATGTTTATCTTTTATTTTGAGTTATTGTTATAAAAAAAAACAATAATACTTTTTACTGCAAGTACTGTTATGAGATTGCCATGGTCAGTGGTGGTCAAGTAGATATAATTTGCATATCTAATGAATAGTAATAAATTCAAAAGTAATTTTTGCTTCTTACAGCCTGTGTGTATTTTTGACTGAAAGGTGCTTGTAATGAGAGGTATATGCCCTGTACTTCTGTTGTTTCAATATACTACAAACATGTAAACTTCCCCTATATTGTGATCACTTTGTGTCCATTAAGCAAATATCTACAACTAATCCTCCCTCTCTGAGGAGACATGTGATGGAGTTCATATTATGCCATTTAATTCCAGAAATATGATTAAAGGGATACAAAAACAGAACAAAAGTAATGTATTCTAAAAATTGTAGGCATTGAGAAATTATTATTATTATTACAAAAATTATAGCATCATAGTAAAATTTGTGTATGCTGTACATCAATCAATGGAATCTTATAATTCCTGCATTGGTGATGTGGGTAGTGACAGAGAGGCCACACATGCAGTAGCAAAAAAGATGACTACTTTTCTGTTCAGGAATGAGTGTAGATTGTTGCATGCTACAAAGTGTGGAAATCAGTGGTTGCAATGAAGAGATGGTGACATACAGTAAAGGGATATCATGCTGCAATCCATCCAGAAATAATCAAGAATTGTCATTTGAAGCTAATGACCACAGGTTCGTTCAGCTGTGGATGTACAGAGAAGTGGCCGCTTGTCCACGTTATGATCCTCAATCATTTGAAGAAGTTGGTGGATGGTACTAGTAACTACATTGAATTTTAAGGTATGCATATGTATTTCTACTTAATAAGGTACATGCAAAGATGATGATAAATTATTTAACATTAGAAATATAGATATTATAGTGATTTCTCATATGCCTAGTTACTTTCCACCTACCCTGTACTTTCTAAAAAAATATCATGATATCATTATTACAGAAGAGATGACATACAGTCATCCCTTGGTATCTATGATATATTGGTTCCAGAACCCTTGCAAGTTCCAACATCTATGGTTGCTTAAGTTCCTTATAAAAATGGTATAGTATCCTACAATAACCGATGGACATTTCTATATGCTAGAATACTTATAATACCTAATAAAATGTAAATGCTATAAAAGTAATTATTGTACTGATTTCTTTAGAGAGTAATCTCATGAAAAAAGTATGTACATGTTCAGTATAGATATAACTATCATAGTCTAACTACATGTACTGTTACACACTTCTTTTGTTTACTAACCTGAAATAAATACATAAAATAAAACATACAATATAATCAAATTCAAGTTTTGCTTTTTAAAACTTTGATATGTTTTTTTTTTGTTTTCTGAATATTTTTTATCTTCCTGATTTATGAAGAGTTGTCTGTATAAATGAAATTCCATCATGAATTTAGACATACTGTAAATGAAATAATTCACATAAAAATAAAAACCAAAACCTTTAAACAATCCAGCAAATCATTTTTTAATATCTTAAAAATGCTTTCAAACACTTTAAGTGATCATCCTCAGTTATCATTTTGAATTGAACGAAGAATTCGAAATTATGTAAAATAAAATTCAAAACGCGGTTTCATAAATATATGTTAACATTTAACAAGTTTAAATAATCACAAAAATTATACAAGCTAATTAAAATGAAATAAAGAAACAAAATAAAATATATACATCCAGTAAAATTATCTTAATTAACCTCCCCGCTTATATAAACTACGTCAACTCATCGTAGAAGGATTTCCATGCTGACGATAATCCATCAGATCCCTATGATTAATACAGTTTCTGTGCAACTGTGCCTTGTGAATTTCTAGTTTTTCCAGATGTTTCACGGCTTGCCTGGATCTTGTAGCCTTGATGATTGATGTTTGATCCCAGAAGACCTCGATATTCTACTGCTTGGCAAAAGCAGCAAGCACCGTAGAGTCTATGTTTTTATTCACCGAGTGCTTGTGTTCAGCAATTCTTTTCTTTAAGTTTCTCATGGTTGCTCCTATGCATACCAAATTGGAGTTAAATCTATGGTCTTTTAACGATATAGAGTATACCCCTGCCATTGCGTTGCGTTCGTAACTGCATTTATCGTTCCTTAAGAGCCTATATACGGTGGGATTATCCTTGTAAACTATCTGTATATTCTTATTTCTGGTAACTTTCTTAACCATTCCTTTAAGGAATGGTATGTAATTGAGCACAACTCTTTCTTTATGCTGATTCCCTCCCTGCGAGGAGTGTCGCTTCTGATAATTCACAAAGAGATCATCTATTCTTTCTCTATGGTACCCTTGCTGTATCGCTATATTTCAGATATATTCCAACTCATTGTAAGTGTCACAGATGCTGGTGCAATGCGTGTGTGCCTTCCTTATCCATGAACAAAATACTGCCATTTTTATATGCTCAGGATCTGTGGAGTTCCTAGGAATGATGATAGGAAGATAACTGGGTTTCTGGTATATATCTGTTCTGATTTCTCCTTCTTTGCAAGTTATAGATAAATCCAAAAAATTAACATTATTTCCATTTTCCTGTTCCAGCTCCAGAGTTAATCCATATGGGTTGTTGTTGATCAGATCTATAAACTGGTTAACTCTGAGATTATCTTTCCACAAAATAAAGATATCATCAACATATCTTGCGTTGGACAATATGTCTTCCTGGAATGAGGGGAGTATATGATTTTTGAGTTTACACAACACTAATTTGCAGAGTATAGCCGACATGGGGCTACCCATCGGTATGCCCCATGCCTGCAAGTAAGTTTTATCTTCAAATTGAAAGAAAGATGTGTGGCAAATTAAATCTGCCAATTTCAAGATCTGCATGTGGTATTTCATAGAGTTGTTAACTTTAGCTAACAAAAAGTCTCTCAGGGCACAAAAGCAGGGAGGCAATTTAATTGACAGGTACAGAGCTTTGTAATCTAATACCATCATCCATTCCTTATCCATAAGTGTAATTATTATGAAGTAATTCACCATTGAAAGAAAGAAATAGGAATGTGTTGGGACCAATATAAAACAAACAACTCCACTGTATATATAAAATAAATTGACAACCTATTTCAAATAGATTTTTTTTTGTTTAATATTAAAAATACGTAGTTTGTTTTTTTTTCAAGCTTCAATGATCCATAAAACAAAGACAACTGTAAATAACAAAATGAATTTATTATCGAAAGTTAGGTACAAACATGGTTACTTTTTGACATAATCACTATGAAAATTGAGGAATTTGTCATATCTGTGGACGAGCTTTTCCATCCCCTTGTCATAGAATGTTGCCACTAGTGAATTGAGATGGGCCCTAACATTGTTTTGAAGATTGTCATTAGTCTCAAACCTCTGTCCTGCTAGTCATGTTTTCAATTCTTCACACATTAAAAAGTTCCAAGCTAAGTGGAAGTCTTCACCACCTTTAAACACACAATGTATAGCCTCAATTTAGCACCAAGTGACTTCCACCTCTTTCCTGAACAAAAAAGTGGTTAGGAGGGCAGAGGTTCAAGACTAATGACGATCTTCAAAACAACATTAGGGCCCATCTCAAGTCATTGGTGGCAACAGTCTATGAAGAGGGAATGGAAAAGCTCGTCCACAGATATGACAAATTCCTCAATCTTCACAGTGATTATGTCAAAAAGTAACCATGCTTGTACCTAACTTTTGGTAATAAATTCATTTTGTTATTTATAACTTGTCTGTTTTATGGACCATCGGAGCATGGGAAAAAAATCAGCCCTCGTATCTCATTTTCAAATTACTGGAGTTAATTCAACCAAAAACAAAACCTTTAAATACCTGTAACATAACTTTAATATGTTTTAGGCCTTCTCTAAGGTCTGCCTCAGGATTTTTAATGAATCAAATTCCAAAATGGAATGCTAGTACGATAATCGAAAAATCAATTAAAATTGATTTGCATTTTTTTAATTCTTATGAAAAACAGTATCAGATTCAAGAAAATATTAGAAAAACAAATGTTATGAGATCAAATAAAAACATGATAGATTTTCACACTTCAGAGGCCAGAAAAATATTGATACATAAATGGCTGAACAATTTTAGATAAAAAAACATTAAAACATGAAACAACAAAATGAGGAAAATCAATTATGTCTTCAAACACAAAAAAATTTCAAATATAAAATTATTAATTTAGTTAAGCTCTCATCTTTATTTAAATAAAATCTTTCAATCTCTTCATGAGAAATTATCTAAGGGGGACAATATAATCATAGAATAAGATAAATTTTCAAGTATGACAAGAGTCATAAGATCTAGCAATCTGCCTAATAATGACTAAGAAGAGATTTGATAAATAACTTACATCCCTAAAATTTTGTTCTAGTTTATTTGAAAGAATAATTTTTACTTTTAAAGATTAAATTTACCCAAAAACTTTTTTAATGAAATTGAGAGAGAGAATTTTACTTAAAGGGCAATTCTAAGAAAGCTATTACAGTAATACCCCGAACTTACACGATAGGTGGACCGAGCGATAACTGCATAAGTCAAATTCGTGTAAGTTGGGGTGTAATTTCGCAATTTGGGTAAATCCAAGTCAGATGTATGTAAGCTAATAAATGTTCTTGTTAATCTTATCTCGTCATTTGATTTGTTCACAGTTACAAGAAATCACCACATAGAGTCTCTGAAGTCTCCGTAGATATAACAAACACAGAAATAAATAACACAAAATAAATTGTAGCTATGTGTTGATTCCGCGCAACACGTCCGAACATGTAAGCTGAACAATAGTGTGGGGGGAGTGAGTAATCAAGAGTTGCATAGCACTCAAATAAAAAGACGAATCAACGAGATTTGAAAATTGTGTAACTTCGAGTTCGCGTTAGTCGGGGTAGCATAAGTTGAGGTATTACTGTACTATAAAAATTTTTTATAGTACAGTAATACCTCAACTTACCAATACAATACCTATACTGTATAAAGCTTATTGTCAGGTATTTTTTAATGAATTTTGTTTTACAAGTTAGACCATTTCAATAAATTGTGAAGACATTTTTAACCAAACTTATTCATTTTCTTAGCTGAATAGCTCAAATTATATTTCCCTTAATTTAATTAAATATTGTTTTTCTTCCAATTTTGTTTATTACTTATTTCTTGAATTAATTCAATAAACTAATAATAATAAATAAATGGACAGATTTAACTGATGTCCAGGTAGTGTAACTGGTAACACATCTGCATACAGTGGCACACTCAAGATTTAATCTTGATGTGAGCCAAGTTGAATGAATAAAAATTTTTTTTTAATGCAAACTCAATAAAATCCCCACCTTATGTAACCACTAATTCATAAATAATATAGAAATAAAACACATGACAATATAAATAAAAAAATGAACTTTAAGTAGAAAAATATTTTTGGAAATCTACTAGTGTTTCTTTTCCTTTTACTTTGGGGGTGCCAAGGTCCCTTGGCCCACCCCCCAGGTGCACCACTGTCTGCATGGTAAGCAGGAGTTGCAGGTTTGAGTCCCACTCCATGATAATCTTATCTTCCAGAATATTCTAAACAAACTTATTTTTAATTATTAAATTTAACGTGAGATGGCAGCTTAACCATCTACTTCTAATCCAAACTACTTGATACCTTGTTAATTAATTAACTATATTGTACCTGATAAGAATCTGGCTGTATCATTTGAATATGTTAGTTCTTTTGAGGCTAAATTTCAACCAAAAAAATTGATTAAAATCATATGGCATTAATACTGTATATTAAAACTGCTTCTATTTTGTCATTGGTTCTTACAATTAAATTATCACATATACATGCTGAAAATGTTTATTTACAAGAAATATATTTTCAAAAAGGTTTTTAAATTCTAATTGTTATTTGAATTACAGAATGTGATAACGTTTATCATTTTAAAATTATCTTTAAAATGAAACTAATATATATTTAAGAATATACTTACTATGCAATAATATAGAGATAAGTATGTCTTTGAACTACTTCCTTCACTTTAGGCCTACAAATATAAAATTGTAAAAAAATATTACAAAATTTTATTCTGTAATAAAAACAGTTATTTTTAATTTAAATATAATAATAATAAATATTTCATACAATTATTTACAATGAACTACAGTAGAGCCTTGATTATCTGACCCCCGATTAACCAACCATCCTAGTTGGCAAATTTCAAACGTCCGCTAGTGATGTGGCGTACAATATTTGGCTATGTCTTGGCTACTTTAATATTATTTTTACGTGTTTTAGCTGGCAATTCGACCATGAAAGGAAGCCAGTATTTAAACGAGGCTTAATTTTCTAATTTTTAACGATACAATAGTGACGATTATTATTTTAAAAATTTTTGTTAGGCTTAACATCGATGAAAATTCAATGCGAAGTAGGTTAATAGTGATATACTAATATACTAATTACATGGGATATAATAATATACTACACTAATAATGGATTTTTTTATACTTTTCGGTTATCCGACTTTTCAATTATCCGACCAACCCCAGTCCCTAATTGAGTCGGATAATCGAGGCTCTACTGTATTTGGAATCTAGACTTTCCCGATTTACTAAAGCAATTATTATATATTCTATGTATTTTACAAAAATTAGTGGAAATGAGCATCAAAATCATTAAATATAAATTCAATACTTTGAATCAGGTATTAAAAACTCAAAACAAGTGAACAACAGACTTAATTCAAGTAATTTCGCTTATGATATTGCAAACTTCTTCAAAAACAAAAAATAACAAAGCTTTTTTAAATTTTAATGGAACATTTTTACATAGATGGTAATAGCAGGAAAGTAATAAAAATTACTATATACATAAATAGGAATAAAAGTAAATAATAAAAACAAATGATAAAAAATGAGTTAAAGTACTGCATGTGTCTGCAGGGGCAGAGAATATTTATAAAATATGTAGGCAGAAGTTATGAGGTGGTGAGTGGAATGGCCATGCCTAGTTTAACAAAAGTTACAAATTTGCAGTCAATGTTCTGGAAAAGACAATGTGGGAGTGTTGACAGGCGGCAGATTGGTAAATAAGAAATGACTCCCAAAAAAAGTTTTATCATTGTCTTTAGTGGATAATTTCCTAAAAATATTCCATTAAATTATATCATAAAAAATGTTTATTTTTAATATATTTTTCTGTCACATATTCCCTTTTTTTACTCTCTCATTATAAAAAATGTAAAATCAACTGCATCTCTAAAAAGACACAATGAGATTTAATTATTTTATGAATAATATTGCAAATAATCAGGGTTCAAGTTTTGCAGACATATAGATTAAAATAATCCTTATCCAGACTATTAAATCATTGTCCTTCCTCTGACAACAAAAAAGTAGTAATTGGATATTTTGCATATATTTATCTTCATATTCTACTGTCAATTTTTAAATGTAGTATTTTTCTTATTATGCATTTAAAACAGTGGTTCTCAAATCATGTTCTACAAACTTGCCACAAGTGTTCCATGGAGGAAATAAGTCTCTACTGCAAATTTATTCCAATATACTACAATGCATTGCATTATTCATAGAAAATTCCATGTTTACTGTTTTGTTCAATATAATAAAAGACTATTAGTTTATTGCTTCACTGTTTCACAAAAAATAATAAAAATGGAACTACTTATTGACTTTTGAATATATTGATGCTAATGCTCCATGAAATAGAAAGCATATGAATGGTGTTCTATGACATCAAAAAAGTTGAGAACCACTGATTTAAAAGTCATTTACAACATGTAATGAAATTCAAAAACTTTCTGCTTAAAACTGACACTAAAAATAATTATGAAAAATATCTTTGAACAAATGTATATGCTTTAGCATTTTGTATTAGTTCAAAAAAGTTCAAATGACCGAGAAAGAAATTTGAACACGGAAAAGGTTGAGAGATGAACCATTTTTCACAATTTTTTCATTTAATGTATTAAAATCTGTGCAATGATAATAAATAAACTATATCTATTAACACAATTAACTTGTAACCTCTTAAATCTATTAACTGCCTGAACATAAGCTATTTAAAAACCAAGCAAATATTTATTGTTATGTTGTCACAATGCCAGGCTGCAATTTTTAAGCATATTTTTAGTTTATGTAATTTAAAATATATGCTCACCACCTAAAATTAGTAGTGTCTTGTCCCTGTACATTGTACTTTTCCTTTAACAATATAGTTGTGCCAGGCATCTATTAACTCCTTTCAGTTTTGAAGTGAAATAACATGACATGTGGTTTGCATGGGAAGTTCATATACAGTAGAGTGTCGTTTATCCGAAAGCTGGTTATCCGAAACGTCTGTTATCCGAAAGCATTCCAGTCGGCAAATTTAAATTTTTGCTAGTGCTGTGGCGCTGCAATCTTCGGCTATTTCTCGGGCTACTCAAATATTTTACGTTTTTGATACTAAATTAACATCTGAAGTATAATTTTTTATTGTTTTTATNTTTAAGCATATTTTTAATTTATATAATTTAAAATATAATTATGCTCTCCACCTCAAATTAGTAGTGTCTTGCCCCTGTACACCATGTTTTCCTGTTGGCAATAGAGTCATGTCAGAACAATGTACAGTGAAAAATTGTAAATCATTCTCAATACTTAAATTACAGCATCCAAAAAATGTTATAATTTGCATTTTGTGGGTTTTAAAAAATTAGTCGCCATAAATTACTAAAATATAATGTTAACGTAAATATTGAATTCCATGAATAATGGAATAAAAAAAATAAATGGTACAATTTTCTGCTCTGATTATATATTATCATATTGAAAAGATAATGTGACAAATGATAGCTAAATAAGAATTTTCTAGTTTAATTGCTTTATTCTTTCTGGTTACCATTTTTTATTTTTTTTTCAGAGTTCTTTAAATAAATAAAAACTCAAAAATATGAAGAAAAAATCCATTTTAAAAACAGTATTGGTCTGTATATCAACATCAGTCCATGAAGATTAAAGTTTGAAAATATATTAAGCTGGAACAAGAAAATCAGAAAATAACCACAGCTTTTTTATGGTCTAGCAAAAGTTTAGTTTAATATAATAACCTATTAATGTTTTGGAGCATCTTACACCGCTTTCCTCAAATATTAGTAAAACAAACAATTAATAAATTTTTTAAAGCAAACAAAAAATTTAAAAACTTTATTCATTTTGCTAATATTTCAGGAAAGCAGTGTAAGATGCCCAAAGCATTAGTAGATTATTTTATTAAACTAAAATTTTTCTAGAACTGTAAAAAAAAATATGGTTTTAAGTCTAAAAATTATTTGATAAATTCATAAAATTTTGACAAAAATATATATTTTAAGATAAACAGATATTTTTATCACTAATGCTGAGTATAGTATGCAATTAGCTGTTGATCTTGTTTTGTGATAATTTTTTAAGTTCTAGGAACTAAGAAAAACCTTACTAAATCTTTGTAATTAATATTATATGTATGTTGATTTATTTACATATGTTTTTACTGGTCTGAATTCAATACCACCACATGACCAGACTGAGATAAAATCATCAAATGTTTTCGAAAATTGCATCCTGAAAGTGTCCATTAAGAAGATAAGAAATATTATAAATGCTAAAATCCACTACTTTGAATCTTCATTAAATGTAAATGGTTTTATTTTCTAAATGCATAATCTCTTGAACAATCCAAAACTATATCCACTAATTATAAATTCTAAGATTGGTCAAGCTATTTATTCATAGATGTTATTGCAATATAATAGTTTAAGTTAAGTATAAATTAATTCTCTACTATAAAGAATAAATAAATACTTACACAAAAATGAACAAAGCAATCACAGCTGTAGTAAAGCCAAGTTGCAGCATAAGAATGGTATACACCTGTGGAATATTTAATATCTTTAATTCTTATTAAAAAATATCATATTTCCCTAATTGAGTCGGATAATCGAGGCTCTACTGTAATAAAACAAATACATTACAATAGATTTTTAATAAGATTTATTTTAATTGAATTTTTCTGGCTTTCATTTCAGCAAATTCATTAATTACATTATCATAATTAATATTTTTAACGATATTGTATTCTATTGAAATAATAGAAATATTGGATAATCGTTCTCGTCCGATAGTTGACCATAAAAATTTTTTTTATTAATTTTAACTTGCTAAAACTTCTCTCGCACAAAGCAATAGAAACAGGAAGAGTTAGAAATATTCGAAGAGCGATATTGATATTTGTGTCAGATTCAATTAAACCAAAATCATGAAGAGCCTGTAGAATATTAAGCGGAGATGCAGTTTCTATATTTTGTATAGGAGTCGTTACTTCAAAATTAAAACTTTTAATTTCACTTGTGAATTCGTACTTTTTAAAATCTTTGCTATATTTAATAGCGAGATCTGCATCCGAATTTTTTAAATCGGCAAACTCATGCTTTGTAAAAACCAGCCACAGCGAAAGCAAAAATCGTCATAGATACTATGATACGCTTCTTGTCTAGTCTTCTGAATGGCTTGTGAGCACTAAAATTGGCTTTACTTTACTGCTAGACTTATTACACCACCACAGGACATCAAATTAGACTTAGAAAAACACTGTTTTATTTTTAGAATGCATTTGGGACATGGAGTCTCTCATCAGCTTTTTTCTACAAAAAATATTAGAAGTTAACAATTTTTATAAAAAGACGGTGATTGACAGAAATGAACAAAGAATGTGGACTTACATTTGACATGTGGATTCGATACGTTAAACATTAATTAGAAGACTAAGCACACGTGGTGGTGTAATAAGTCTAGCGGTAAAATAAAGCCAATTTTAGTGCTCACAAGCCATTTGTCACAGATAGTTTTCATATTTTCATAACGCCAATCTATTTGACATAATAGAGTGTCAAGAACACTGTAAATTTATATTTTAAATAATTTTTCGGGTGTCAAGTAACTTCCTTCATCTGGTGTTTTATCTATTTCCATTATCAACTCTTTTTTTTTCGCTTATTAAGAAATCCCTTTTCTATACTTTTTGGTTTGTTTTAAGAATATGATCAATAATAGCATCTGTTAATATTGTTGGCCATAAAGCTATATCATTTATTACTTCCATGTATCTATATATATCGAAGCGTTTTTCTGGACTATTTCTATCTTCTGAGTTTTCGCAATCCCTTTTTTCGGTAGCATTTTAAAGACTGTGAAATTTCTCAAGGAGATTTGATTATTAAGATAATAAATGCTATTAAATTGTGGTTATTAATAGCCGAGGGAGATATAAAGGGGATTGTGTGTCATACCGCTAATACTCAAAAACGAGTCCCGGTACGATTAAAGGAGTTATATGGTGTGGTAGCCTTCTATCACCCATCCACGAAGAAAGTTCTTGTTTTTACCTGAAGGGCGTGACGTTGAAGATATAAAGGCTGGAAGTTTCGCCCTCCTGGAGGTTTTGCAAGCAAACCCCATTTATATTTAGTATTTGAACAACCATAGTAATTGTTTTATAATACCTGCAGCTGAGAATAATGAGAATTGCCGAGAATCAAACGAACTGTTTTCAATTTGATCAACTTTCTGGAACGTTTACAATCGTTCTATAATCGAACCAATATGCAATAACAAATTCGAATTTAAAAAGGTTCGAACATTTGGTTAAAAAATCGAAATAGATAAAAATATTTATAACAATGTATGAAATGTTATCAATTTAATACCCCTAATTACTCAATGAAAATTAAACGTAGTTGTAAACGAAAAATCGCATGTAAAATAGTACAGTAGAAGCCGTTCTTCCGGTTATGCCTTAATCCTCTTCCTCTCCCCCTTGGGGGATTTTGAAAAATTCCTTCTTAGTGTGCGTTTTCATGACGTACCCTAACTGTGTACCAAATTTTACCTCTTTAGGTTCAGCGGTTTGCTCTGGGCGATGATGAATTAATCATAGGTCGAAAAACTCAGCGACTAACAACTTTTCAAGTGTTGCCAGATATAAATGTACAATAACCAACACACAGAAACACACTCCCCTGTAGCGCAATATGATTCAATCTGATTTCTACTGGCTTTTACAGCAAAAGAAAAATCACAGCTACTTCAATTTGATGTGAAAACTGCCTTCCTGCACGGTGATTTAGAGGAGGAAATCTACATAACATAGCCTGAAGGATTTATTAAGTCAAATCAAGCAAACAAGGTATACTTGTTAAAGAAAAGTCTATATGTCTTGAAACAAGCCCCAGAAAGTGGAATAAAAAATTTTTGGAATTCCTTAAACCTAAGAATCTTATCAGATCCATGTGTATTTATGGATATGAAATCTGAAATAATAGTTGTCCTATACATTGGGGATGGATTAGTGATTGGTGACAACCTTAAAAGAATGAAAGAATTGATGGATGAATTAAACAAAGAATTTGAGATAACATGGGGAAAGCCAACTGATATCTTGGAATGGAAATAAAACAACACACTGATGGTTCTATTTTTATCTGCCAGTCCCGGTATATTGAAAAACTACTCAGTTTATTCAATATGGATGAATCAAATCCTACCTATACTCCAATTGAACACTCAAAGGATGACATAACTGATACGAAGGAAGCCAAAGGTAAACCATATAGAGAACCAATAGGTAGCCTCCTATATTTGTCCACTATTAGTAGACTGGCTATAATGTTTGCTGTAAATTACCTAAGTAAACATGTAGAAAATCCAAAACATCATCACTGGACTCAAGCTAAGAGAATTCTGAGATATTTGAGAGGAACTACTGGTTATGGAATCTTATATAATGGCAACAAAAAACTAGCTCTTTATAGCATTGCAGACTTTGCTGGAAACTTGGAGGATAGATGTTTCATCAGGATACCTACTAATGTATTCAGGAGGAGCAGTATCATGGCACTCCAGAAAACAAAGAACTGTTGCATTATCTGCTGTCAAAGCAGAGTATGTTTCTGCCAGTGAAGCTATTAGAGAAATTCTGTTTATGAGAAAATTTGTATTAGAACTAAAAATGCTAAGTAAGGAACCTACAATAATGTACATTGACAACAACAGTGCAATTCACATGATTACTAAAGATGATAAGAAAGCTTCTAAATGAACCAAACATATTGAAGTTAAATATCATTTTGTAAAGGAAAAGATTGGAACAGAAATAGCAATAAAACACAGACAGCAACAAACAGTTAGGTGATATCCTCACAAAACTGCTATCATGGATTAAATTTTAGTATTTTGGAAGTTGTATAGGAGTTTGTAAATTTAAATGAGATTGAATCCTATGCACTCTGGATCTGTCTCTTAATATTTTGTATCTTAAACTTTGAATGTCCTGTATTTAACAGAAATGTAAAAATTTAGGAGAAGTGTTAAAACACTGGCAACACTGCTGTGTGTTCTTTATTCTTGTTCCTGTATTCCCACTGTACAGACTGTAAAATAAAACCTGTCTTTGTTTTCCAATTTGGAGTGCTTTTTATCAATTTTTATGTAATTGCCCATTGCTCACTTAATCATTCAGGGTGATTAAGTGAAATATTTTTTTAATAAAAATTGCATTCAAAATAGTAGTAGCTCATATAATCATGTGTAGGGAATTAGGTATGGATTTACAGTATATTTATATAAATAACTAATATTGTTTAAAAAGTTTCTAAATTGCAACACAGATGTGTTTTTGAAGAAATGGGTTTGGTCAGGTACCTAGAATATAATCTTTAAATATATGATAAACTAGCTGTTACCTGCGACTTTGCCTGCGGAGGTTTTGCAAGCAAACCCCATTTATATTCAGTATTTCAATAACCATAGTAATTGTTATATAACACCTACCACTGAGAATGATGAGAATTGCTGAGAATCAAACAAACTACTTTCAATTTGATCAATTTTTTGGAACGTTTACAATCGTTCTATAAACGAACCAATACGCAATAACAAATTCAAATTTAAAAAGGTTCGAACATTTGGTTAAAAAATCGAAATATATAAAAATATTTATAACAATGTCTGAAATGTTATCAATTTAATACATCTAAGTACTCAATGAAAATTAAATGTAGTTGTAAATGAAAAATCGCATCTAAAGTAGTACAGTAGAAGCTGTTTTTCCGGTTAAGCCTTAATGCTCTTCCTCTCCCCCGCGGGGGAACTTCGAAAAATTCCTTCTTAGTGAGTGTTTTCATGATGTACCCTAACTGTCTACCAAATTTCACCTCTTTAGGTTCAGCGGTTTGCTCTGGGCGATGATGAATTAGTGAGTGAATGAGTCAGTTAGGACAAGCAATTTTATATATATAGATTTCAGTATGAAATGATGATTTTATATAAAATTAATTGTTATTTCATAAAAATATGTAGTGCACCAACTTTTATTAACTAATGAGATTTAATTACAGAGTCTTCCATTTCTTGAATACGAATTACATAGACAATTACTTAATAAGTTAAAGGTAAGAAGTTAAATATTTATAGTTAAATATAATTTTTTTTTACCTCCATGTCCTTACTTTTATGGATTTCTGTTTGTATTCTTGTTTACTTGGACCTTCTTGTTTATTAATAGGACTGGTAATACTGGTATAGCTTACAATTAACAAATAGAGGAGATCTTATTAAAAAAATAAAAACAAAATATCTTGATTTTCAAATGAAAATAAACAAGTCTTGCTAATAAAGAAGTCCTATTAATAAACAAGGTCCAAGTAGACAAGGATACAAACAGAAATTTATAAGTATAAGCATTTAAGAAATTTTAATTAATATTTTAATTAATTAATTTTCAAATACAATCAGTAAAGTCCTCATGGACAAGATATTACTGCCCCAAAATAACAATAAAAACTTTTGTAGGTAAAAACAATTACACTGCTGATATT